AATACCTTGCTGAGTTTTTTGGCCAGGGATAGGAAGGCTTCTTCGATGGTTTCCCCCTCCCTGTCTGATAAGCTAATCTTCCTCTTCTTGCCTCCCCTGGAACTCTTATGAGAGCTCTTCCTTTTTTGGTCCTTGGCTTTTGAAGAGGAAGATGCACCGACCTCTTTAGCACCTGATTGGACCGGGACTTTGGGGGGATTAGCCCAGTCAACCTCAGAATGATGCCTGGCTGAAGGAGATTTCAGCTTCTGGCTCTGCGCATGGATAGGGCTACACCGGGCACTTGTGGCCCCATCCATTCCAGGGAAGTTAGGAGGAGAAGGAGAGTTAGAGAGAGGAGACCGGTTGGAGTGGAGGACTTGGACATCATCGTCGTCATCCTCAATGATGGTGGTCATCCTGTTGAAGTTCATGTCCGCCAAAAAGAACAAAGTAACCGGTTAGATTTTTCACCTTATCAAAATGAAAGTGGAATCAAAAGGTTGAGGAAATTTAACCAACCTGGATGAGGAGAGCCGGCCTCAGTGTGACCATCCGGGGAATCAGCCCGGTTATCCTCAGCGTCATGGGTCGCAGACGCACCCCCATCCGGGTTAGCTAGCCGGAATACCCAGCCCCCATAGGCATAAGGTTTCCCGGTCACAGGATCACCCTTGAGAAGTTTCTCGCAGGCGTCCTCAAGATCTTTAATGGGGCTCCGGTTGAACCCTTTCAGGTTTTATAACCCGGTCAGCCCACTCAGGGTTTGAGAGAGGAAATTGGTCAGGGGGGAATTCAACAAAAACAAATCTTTTCTTCCATCTTTTGTGACTAGGGGGAAGACCGGTCACAAAAGATCTCTTATTACGAGAATGGAAATAGACGAAGCCTGGGCAGTTACTAGTCCCGGGCAAGACTTTGTACATGTGGAGGAAAAGCTCAAGGGAAGGGTTGATTTTCAAATTTTCACAGATATTTACAAAACAATTCAAGAACCGGTGAGCATTTGGAGTAAGCTGGCCGGGCAAAATCTTGAACTTGTTACAGATTTCTACGAGGAGGGGGCGAAGGGGAAAGATAATGCCCCCCTCTAGCGAAGCGATGTGAAAACCCAACCGGTTTCCTTGGTGGGGTTCTATGATGTTGGGCCAGGTGGTGTTAGAAAGGACTTTATAGCCTGGGGGAAGGACGGAGCGCACCTCGGCCAGGACCTTTTTGGTAACCCTAGAGGACTCTTTGAATACCGGTCTAACATCAAGGGCTAGGAAGCCCAAAGATCCCAGTCGTTCTTCCCATTGCTCCCAGCTGGGGGTTTTGGGATTGAATCGACCGGGCAGTTGGTTCAAAGGAACAGGCTCCTGGGCAACTATTTCCTGGGCCTGGGAGCTAGATTGGTGAGAGGGCTGGCGAATCAAAGGAGTGACAGGGGGAGAAGAAGACTCAGATTGGTTAGAGAAAGAGGGTTGAGAGCCCGATCCATAAGATTGACCGGATACATTTTGTGAGTCAGAGGAAGACATGACTTCAGCCTACCGGTCAAAAATGGAAAGATGGAAGAACTAAAAGACTAGGAGGACTGGAGGACTTACTTGGCAGAAGGCTAGAGAGAGAAAGTAGACCGGTTAAAACTTAAGGAGCGAAGGAGAGAAGTGAAGAAATGAGATGGGTTGGAGGAGTATTTATATGAGAGAGAGAGGCGGTTTGGAGCTCGAGGCGACAGGTGGGAGAAGGAGCGCCTGACACGTGGAAGAGGTTATGATTAGGAGGGAAAATTTGAATTTTGAATGTGGAAGGTGAGAGGTTTTGGGGGGAAATTCCAAAAATGAAAAGCCAGGCTCAACGTCTGGACTCCCACAAATCCAAACGGACAGGTCATGCAGCGTAGTCTACAAATCCAAAAGTGCCAGGTCTGGTATGAAGACGGTGAATCCAAGAAATGGGCAGGTCTCCATGGAAAGGTCATGGGAATGGCTTGACAATTTCAAAGAAGGACATGACAGGTCTTGAAAAAGAAAGGCTTGGCAATCCAGAAAAAGACAGGTCTTGAAAGAGAAAGGTATGATAATTACAAAAGTGACGGGTCTAAAAGGACAGGTCAACAAGAAGGACAGGTCATGAGAATGACTTGATAATTTAGAAGAAGGATAGGTCATGGGAATGACTTGATGATTTCAAAGAAGGACAGGTCATGGGAATGACTTGATGATTTCAAAGAAGGACGGGTCATGGGAATGACTTGGTAATTTCAAAGAAGGACAGGTCGTGAGAATGACTTGATGATTTCAAAAGTGATAGATCAACATAAGTATACTTCCCGCCCTTGATGACTTCCTCACAAGGCCGGTAAGTGGAGGACTTCTTGATGGGTATATCCTTATACCCGACCCGGACAACCGAAAGGGACAGGTCAAAATATGACCGGTCACTTTTATCAATCACCAAATGAGGTTAACTCTTCGATTGGGACGGGTCAAAAGTTGACCGGTCACTTCCACTAAAAAAGTGACCGGTCACATTTTGGGCGATAGCCAAAATGTCGCCTAATNTATACTTCCCGCCCTTGATGACTTCCTCACAAGGCCGGTAAGTGGAGGACTTCTTGATGGGTATATCCTTATACCCGACCCGGACAACCGAAAGGGACAGGTCAAAATATGACCGGTCACTTTTATCAATCACCAAATGAGGTTAACTCTTCGATTGGGACGGGTCAAAAGTTGACCGGTCACTTCCACTAAAAAAGTGACCGGTCACATTTTGGGCGATAGCCAAAATGTCGCCTAATATTACAAAGGACATTCTAGAAGACCAGAGACGGGTTGAGCACAAAGAATGACCGGGTAACTTTTGAGAGAAGGTGACCGGTCATATCACTTTACTTGGCTAACATTGGTTCAGTCTCTTGGTACAGTGCTTCCATTATCTACAGTGACCTTCCCACGAGCTTCATATTTTGTCCATGGATGAACAGGGGAGGGTCACAAATCCTCCTCTATAAATATGATGATATTTGATAGAGGAGGGGATCCAGTTTTTCTCTCACTAAAGTTCACTCTTGAGATAGAGTAAGAAATATAATTCGGACTGAGGAGATTTACCCGGTCTAGGTCACATTTTGTGTTCTTGTTGTGTGTTTTATATTACGGGTCGAGTGTGTCCAGGTCAAACCCGGTTAACCCACCCCGCTATATTTACACCATCAGGTACCATTTGTGAAATTTACCCGAGTTCATGAATTCACTTAAGCAAGGCTTCGTTTCATTTAAAACCATACTTAAATTCAATCTTTTATTTCTAGCAAAATTCCCCCTCTCTTAATGGCTTGGCTTGGGGTGTTTGTTTCTATACACTAGTATATGAGTTTGCCACTACTCAATAGACTCACAAATTTTTCTTCTTTTCCTTTGAAGGTACAAAGAGATTGAGGAGAGGGGTGTGACTGGCTTTTTGAATGGGTTATTGTCAAAGACTATTAAAATTGATATATGCAAAAAGGGTATCTTTGTTTGGGGTTTAAGGCCGAGGGGTACGTGGACGAGAAGGGTGATGTGGCACTACGGGAGGGAGGGGAACCCGCCCCGGTCCCCTATGTAGGAATAGGAAAGGTGGATTCCCTCCCGTTTCAATTTCATTTCCTTTTTTTTCTTTTGTTGTTTTTCTTCCCTTTCCTTCTTTGTTCCATAGATCCATCAATGACCCCACATTTGAAAGGGTAGCCTCAAAGCAGAAAATTATTGTTGGCTACCCTTGGTTTTGTCATAAGAACTCATAGATTGTATATTTTTTAAAAATTTACTCCGAGGTACCTTTAATTATCCAAAAACTAACTCCGAGAGACATTTCGCCCGTTCCTTCGTCAAATTCATTTTCTGTGTTATCTTTTAATCATCTTCTTCCCAAAAAATTGTTGTTAGGTACCCCAATTTTATAAAAATAACTTTTAGGTCCTATCATTTTTTAAAATATCTTCTGGGGTATTCTAAATTTTCCAAAACTTACTCTGGGAGATTTTCTTTTATTATTATCATTACTTTTATTATTATTATTAGATAATAATAATAAAAGGAAAATCCTCTCGAGCAAGTTTTTGGATATTTTAGGTTACCCTGGAGTATATTTTTTAAAATGATGTGACCTAAAAGTTATTTTAAAAAAATTAGGGCTACCTAATAGTAATTTTTGAAAAGATGATGATGAATAGATAACGGAGAAAATGCATTTGATGGAGGAATGGACGGAATGTATCTAGAGTTAGTTTTTGAATAATTAAAGGTAATGGGAGTATATTTTTTTTAAATGAAACCCCACAACAATTTTCTGGCTTGAAAGTGTGAAAGTTACTCTCTCCTTCCTAAAATGTTCTTCTCACTCACTTTTTACCCGGTCAAACTTTAATCACTTTCTTTACCTATTTTCATTAGGTATTTGATAAAATAATATAGTCTTGTCACCACTTGTTTTGTAGAACTTTTGATGTAGTTTTTAAATATATAAATTTTATTTTTTAATTTTATACCTATAATCAAATAAATTAATTGAAAATAAAGTGGACGGAGGGAGTACCATTCTTTGTGCAAGCTGTAGGGAGTACTTGCTGTTAATTGGTTTGCGAAATTGATTGCACAGTGAAATTGAAATAACAACACTCCGCATTGCAATGGTGTTTGCTCATGAATGAATGGCTACAGCCATTATCGAGTAGAACGCCGAAGCTGAAAAAAGCACATTGAAGTTGAATAACAACACTCCCCCTATGGCTTCTAGCTTTCTTCTCTCGGTAATGGCTTCTCATCTTCTTTCTCCCCATTTTTGTTTTACATTTTACTTGACTTTCGTAATTGAAGTTTACTTTTTCAGACCCAGATGCCAATTCAGGGCAAGAGAATCCCCCAACCTAGCTTCCGAGGTATGCTGCTTGAATGATTGATTCTAAAGTGTTTTTCTTTCTGCATTTCTGCTCACTCTTTGGCAAATTGCTAGTTGATGATGTGCTTTGTGTTATACATTTTAGTGTAATTGGAGTGACTATTTGACCAATGTAATCATAGTAATCGTCAAAGAAGTCCATGTGGTACGGAGTGCACGCTTTCTTTGAGTTTGTTATGATAATAGCCTCGTTTGCCCCTAATTATTTAATCGAGGTTCCAAGGGGGCAGCGCCCCTTATAGGGAGTCCGGGGCCACATTCAAGGGGCGGCAATCCCTGCAGAGTAGAATTTTTTTTATATTTTGGACAAAGTATTGTGTTACAAATTCATTTTAATTTTTATTTTTTGGATGTGTACATAAGAAAATCCGAACTGCATATCTTGAACAATTCGCCAAATAGACGCGAACATTAGAGAAAGGCATAAAACTGCAGTTCTCGCTTTTTCCCGCCATAGTACTAGAGTAGTTGGGTAGACCTCGGGTCATAGTTTGTAGTTTATGTTGGTGTTTTTTTCGTCTTAATCTGTAGCTTGTGCATGTGCTTCATATGTTTTGAGTCTAGTTTCTAGCATTAGTATGTGTGCTTCTTGTGTCTGTGCTCTTACTGTGTACGTGGTAATGTGTTACTTTGTGTGTACTTCTGTATGTGAGTCGAAAGTCTCTTGTCTACTTCCACGACTCCACACTCCCAGAACCATACTTTTTGTGGGACTTTACTGGGTTTGTTGTTTTGGTTTTTGCAGTCAAAGTGGTGTTATTTTCTTGATTAGTTTTCTTGATATGGGCATCAACACTTTCATGAGATATTGTTTGTATAATTTTTTTATTTAGGTTGTTCCTATAAGTTTCTCATTTTTGGGCCTTTTCAGCTTATTTTTTGTCAACCCTCACATCTAAATTTTCAACTTTTAGGCCACTGCACCACTTTCAGTTCACTTTATCTTACATGATTCTTCAAGTCTCTATGGGTTTTCCATTTTTATCTTTTTCATAAATTTCTCACCTGATAATGCATGTTGATTGTTGTTCTATATTTGGAGTGGAAATGTTCTAAAAACTAACTTCAACCAGATTTATTCAATTTCTTTCCAAACATGCTAAGCAGGTGCTGCTCCAGAAGGTCTAAATAAGATAAATATATGCTCATCTCCCTTCAGGAAACAAATTACTATAAAAGCAGTGGCGGTTCCGGTTGCCCGCTCTCATTCAGAAAGTGAAGAGGATAGGAAAATATTATGTGAAAGATATGGCTTTAAGAAGATTGGAGAACCACTACCGGATAATGTCACATTAAAAGATATCATAAAAACTCTTCCAAAAAAGGTATTTTTTAGGAATGCCGAATGCTGTTTTGTACTGCCAACCGTTCTTCACTACTTTTTCATTGAAACTCTGTCCACAAATAAGCATTGACCATTATCAATTTTTTTTCTTGGGGCTACAATCACAAACTTGATTTTTTAGTTCAGTTGGTTCCTTGACACAATGTCTCTGATTTTTAATAGTGTAAGGTCTTTGTGATCATACGCCAAACCTCGAGGGAGGTTACATATAATAACCATTTTATTTTAATTAATAACATGTTATTATCGTCATGATGATTTAACTCTGAGCTTAGGTGTTTGAGATTGATGATTTCAAAGCATGGAAGACGGTTTTAATATCAGTATCATCATATTCTTTGGGACTTTACGTGATTGCAAAAGCCCCATGGTATTTACTCCCGTTAGCTTGGGCATGGACGGGAACTGCAATAACCGGAGTAAGTTCCACTTCTACCCTTCCCGATTACATCTGCCGCTTTCCTTTTTTTAAATTACAAATTGAGCCATACTGAGGATCTCATGTGGTTTGCATTATGTTTGCTATTCAGTTCTTTGTAATAGGGCATGATTGTGCCCATAAAGCATTTTCAAGAAACAAATTTATTGAGGACATTGTCGGAACTCTAGCTATGTTGCCATTGATTTACCCCTATGAACCTTGGCGGTTTAAGCACGATCACCATCATGCAAAAACTAACATGTTAGTACTGCTTCTTAAAGATGTGGCATTTTTGTAAATAAGTTCTTGCTTGTTCAATTGGGTTTGAGCCGGGGGGTCTCTTGGGAACAGCCTCTCTGCATACACATACCCTCGTCAAACCAGACTTTTTGTGGGATTTTACTGGGTTTGTTATTGTTGCTTTTCAATTGGCTATTTCTCACTTGTCTCTATTCCCAGGTTGTTAGAGGACACCGCTTGGCACCCTGTTTGGAAAGAGGAGTTTAATGCAATGCCATCATCACGTAAGGCTTTGATAATTGGTATGGGACCCATTCGACCTTGGATGTCAATAGTTCACTGGTATGTGTACTGATGACCCAATTAGTGTGTAGTAGAGCTTATTTTGTACCTTATGAAAGCTCTAAATAAGCTACTGATCCAAACATCGGGGCATATGCGTGTGAAACTTCATTATACAATCAACTCGTGGGTTTCTTTTAGGTTGCGGTGGCATTTTGATTTGAACAAGTTCAGACCAAACGAGATGAAGAGAGTGAAGATAAGTTTAGCATGTGTCTTTGCATTTATGTTCATTGGATGGCCATTGATCATCTACAAAGCTGGAATAATTGGATGGGTCAAATTTTGGCTGATGCCATGGTTAGGTTATCACTTTTGGGTAATGTTTACTTCTTTTCACAGTACAACAACAACAACATCAACAACAATGCGATATAATCCCAACTTTGTTTCCGTTAGAACAAAATGTCCTTGAAAATAAGAAGCAACCAAAGTTTAATGTTTCTATGTTACCGAAACTAAAACAGTGTCAATGAAGACTCTTTTAGCTCCATTAGCAATGGAAAAACTTCTTTTTGCAGTGGTACTTCAATACTAAGTGAATTTTCAATCCTTTTGTGTGCCCTTAGATGAGTACCTTCACAATGGTTCATCATACGGCTCCACACATTCCCTTCAAGTACTCAAATGAGTGGAATGCAGCTCAGGCCCAACTTAACGGGACAGTTCATTGTGACTATCCTCGTTGGTAAATATTTCGCTTTTTTTTGGGGGGGTGGGGTGGGGGCAATGAGGCCATTTGGATCACCATCTAAGATCTGTCGTCTGTTTTTTTCGTGGCAGGGTGGAGATCCTTTGCCATGATATTAATGTGCACATCCCTCACCATGTGTCTCCCAGAATACCAAGCTACCATCTAAGGGCAGCTCATAAATCCATCCAAGAGAATTGGGGAAAGGTATGATCCTAAACAAATCATTTGGCTTATCAACCTTATTAGGCATACTCTCTACCAAACAGTGACTTATGAATAGTACATTACAGTTTTGCTGAAACAAAGAAAAATGACCCTTCTACCCTCTACTTTATTTAGTTATTGCCGTTTGTTTACTACAACAACAACAACAAACCTTATTGCCGTTTGTTTACTACAACAACAACAACAAACCAAGATTTCTCCATGTTTTAAAACTTTTTTTCTTTTTCTTGTCATTGTAACAGTACCTGAATGAGGCTACGTGGAACTGGCGTCTAATGAAGACGATAATGACAGTCTGCCATGTCTATGATGCAGACCGAAACTATATTCCATTTGACGAAATTGCCCCTGCAGACTCTCAACCGATTGCCTTTCTTAAAAAAGTAATGCCTGATTATGTTTAGTGAGGTGGTGGTCTTCGGTGTTCCGGCTACTTATCAAGCGCGATTGTCTTTTTAGCCTCTCATTTCTTTGCAGTTTGCAAAAAAAAGTTCAGGTTTCTGGTTTATTTGAAGTTCTGTATCCCTTAATTATAAAGTATTATATACACACATTCATGTCAGTCTTCATGGATCAAGATTTAAAAAAAAGGCATGCTCCAAGGAGCACACTCCCCCGTCTCTAAAAGAAGTTTTCGTTTGTTTTGTGCCCGAGTTCAAGAAAAAATTAAATTGTAAAATGGAATATTATGTAGAAGAGAAAGAACTAATATGAACTAGCTACTTATCTATTTTCCTAAATGGGGTATGAACTTTTTTTTGGGATAGCTAGAAAAGAAAAGGTATAAGTTCTTTTAAGAAGGAAGTATATTTTGCCTTATTTATAAATAGTTTTGATGAAATTGGTCCATCTTTTATTGTGTGTTTGTGAGTGAAGATGCTCAGCTCACAATTCATTTAAAACTCTTAATTACGATTGGTTGAGTTATGGAACTAATTCAATCAAAAATTCAAAATTTCAATTAATGGTTTTATTCTCCTTACAATTGTTACCAACCCCTTCATCACACTATGAAAAGTTAATGTTTGTAGTTTATTTTGGAAGGCAAAAGTATTTTGTTAGACATAATTATATCTTTTTCTACTTTCTAGTGGCTAAATTACTTTGTACTATAGTACCTCCAAAGTACTACTCTCCTTATGCCCCTATTTATAAAATTGTAATTTATGATGTTTAAAAAAAATTAATTGGAAAATATACTGAGTTATACGGAATATCAAAAATAGAATCAACAAAATAATATAATGGAGTATTTTTATTCGAATTAGATGAAACTGTTTTAAATATGAAAAAATTAGAGATACATCAAGTTTGTATCTCAACTTACACATTACGACAGAGCGAAATATGCCCCTCTTTTAATATATTTTTTTTTGAAATTATTTAAATATAATTTAATCTTAGTACTTTATTAAAAAACGAAATTGATTTGAACTCTATGACTCAAGAGTAACCTGGCTTAAGTGACCGTCTTCTTCACCATCCTTATCCCCTTTTTGCACTATATAAATACAGAGCGGCCCACGCATCACAAATGGCCGCACTGAGATCGTCACTATTGGCTACGTCTCATATCGCGATTGCTGCAACTTCTACCTCAAACTCTACTTCTGGAATCTTCCTGAAATTCCGATTCGGGTCGACCTTGGCCATTTCTGCCCCTGTTTCACCGCTCTGTCGCAGAAGATCTAGGTGCATGGCTCACTCCATGGCCGCCGCCCGGGATACGCTTGGCCTCACTCGTCCCGTTCAACTCGACCACCCCAAGGTTCTTTCCTTTTCTTCATTGTTGTTTTTTTCCATCAATTCTATGCTTTCATCAATGTGAACTTTGTTTTCTGGAGCGAAATTCTGTTCGTGCTCGATGTTTTCTCCAATTGATTTTGTTTTTTTTGATGATTTGGTTGCATATTGGGCATTAAAGATTTGATCTTTGAGATAGTTTTTGGGTAAAGAGTATGCTGTTTTGTTTAGCCTTATTTTGGTAAATTTCTGAGATAACATTTGCTGAATTCCTCTCTTGTTCTTGCATGAGGAAGATCTCACTTGCTGCAAAAGAGATTGATTTAGTTGAATGGAAAGGAGACATTCTTGCAGTGGGTGTTACGGAGAAAGACATGACTAGAGATGAGAACTCCAAGTTCCAAAATTCGATCTTGCAAATGTTAGATTCAAAATTGAGTGGTTTGCTGTCAGAAGCTTCGTCCGAAGAGGATTTTTCTGGAAAATCTGGCCAATCAACTGTTCTTAGACTCCCAGGCATTGGTTCTAAAAGGATTGGGTTAGTTGGACTTGGGTCAGCAGTTTCTTCAACCGCAGCCTATCGGGCTCTCGGCGAGACCGTTGCTGCAGCTGCTAAATCTGCTCAGGCAAGTAGTATTGCTGTTGCACTTGCTTCTGTTGAAGGCCTCTCGGAGGAATCAAAGCTCAGTACTGCCTCTGCAATAGCGACCGGTATCTGTTTGTCAAAATGCTTTGCTGGAACTGAATTGATCATATCAAGCTGAATCTGAATGTCTTAATTTTTATTTGTATAGGAACTGTGCTTGGGACTTTTGAAGATAACAGGTTCAAGTCAAAGTCAAAGACCCCCACACTCAAGTCTCTCGAAATTATTGGTCTTGGTGCCGGGCCGGAGATTGAAAAGAAACTCAAGTATGCGGAAGATGTTTGTTCGGGTGTGATCTTTGGAAAAGAGCTTGTGAACGCACCTGCCAATGTAGTTACCCCTGGTTAGTAAAGTTCTTTTCTTTTAGCCCGTAACATTATGTATTTCTCATATTTTCCTGGCTTGTTATTTTTAGACTATGTATATTTTTAGACTATCTTTTTGTGCAGTTGGAGCCAGGGGTCTCTTGGAAACAGCCTCCCTACTTCCAAGTAGGGGCAAGGTTTGCGTACACACACCCTCCCCAGACCCTACTGTAGTGGGATTCAACTGGGTTGTTGTTGTATATAACAAAGGAAGTTGTAGGGAAGAGAAAAAAATGCCAAGTACAAATGCTTGGTATTTCCTTGGAAAATATGAAGGACGATTAACTTTGAGGAAACACCCTTAAAATTTTACATACTCCATATATCTAGAGTTATCCGTGTATAGCATATAATCAAATTGGTTTGGGCTAATATCTACAATTGATATATTGAATTTGAACTCTTACTATAATTATAATTTTCCCTTGCATTTTCTCTTCTTCTGATTTCCCCTATATTTTCCTCTCTTTTTTTCCTTGTCTTCCAAGTTCCAAACTTTACCCTTATTTTTACTAAAGGTGAAATTTTGTTATCGCTTATGTCGTGGAAACTTGTGCTATACAGAGGTACTCGCTGAGGAGGCAAAAAGTATTGCAGCATTGTACAGTGATGTTCTTACTGCAACAATTCTAGATGTTGAGCAGTGCAAAGAATTGAAAATGGGATCATATTTAGGAGTGTCTGCAGCTTCTGCAAATCCTCCTCATTTCATTCATTTGTGCTACAAACCTACAACTGGATCAGTTAAATCCAAGCTTGCTTTAGTTGGAAAGGGATTGACTTTTGACAGGTAACCAGTCTTTATTATTGATACTGAGTGGTCTTGCAGGAGCATTTGATTGTGTTTAGGTGGTATTTACCTAAAACCCTACTCTTGTTTATATTTTAGATACTTATTAAATAAAGTGAAAATATTAATCCACTATGGAGTATTATTCTTTTAATAATTATTAAATACAAATGAAGATATAATAAAATTATGGGAATTTCTCTGATGTCACCCTCATGGTTGGGGTATTTATCAGAATGACCATATCACCCATATGCACATATTCTAAAATAACCTTTGGTTAGGCTACGAAACCTTGGGAATTTCCATAGATTACCCATGTTCTAAAAATGGTGCATTTGGGCGGGTCAATTTGAAAAAAATCCAATATGAATTGAAGGCACCTTAAATTAGTACTCCCTCCCCTCCAGTCCTTTATAATTAGATGTGGTTCTGGCTTTCAAGAAAATGGTTTAATATAACTAAAAATCTAAAATTATCTTCAATATCCTAATGTGCACTTAAAATAATTTTATGGGGAATATGTTTTTATCTTGCAAGAAGAAGAATTTTGCAAGAAAAAATAAATGTATGTTGATAGTATAAAAGTGACATAATTTGGACCCCCCAATAGGCTAATACATCTTATGAGCAGAGGGAGTATTGCATTATAAATAAAAATTAATGATCACCTAAAGAATCAAAAGTTTACCTAAATGGACAGTTATTTGAAAACATGTTGAATGGGTAACTTTATACGGCACGGTTCATGTGACATTCTGTTGCAATGTCATAGCATGACTCGAGCCTCCTACGATGCTCCGTTTGAAAAATTGATGGTTCCTACCCCCCTCCCCTTCGTCGATTGGCTACAGTAGTTATTGTAATCAGCAAAGGATAGGGGGGATAGAACCCTCAATTTTTCGAATGGAGCACCGTACGAGGTTCGGGTCATGCTATGACATAGGGTTCAATGTCATTTGAACTGTGCCGAACTTTATATCCATATTTTACTTGACTTTTTTTGGGGGTTGTTATTTTCTCTTGAATAAATTTGTTGTGTAAATTGTAGTGGTGGTTACAACATCAAGACTGGGCCAGGCTGTTCAATTGAGCTGATGAAATTTGATATGGGTGGTGCTGCAGCAGTTTTGGGCGCAGCAAAAGCTATAGCGCAAATAAAACCTGCTGGAGTGGAAGTATGTCTTATTATTCTCACTTGCTCTAGGGGATTATTTTTGGGTCACTACATTGCATGAATCTGTATTGTCTCTATCTCATATCAATCCTAATTGTTATCATATGGCAGATACATTTCATTGTTGCGGCTTGTGAAAATATGATTAGCGGCACAGGAATGAGACCTGGAGACATTGTCACAGCTGCAAATGGAAAAACAATCGAGGTTATATTCTTTAGACCCGTACAATATTAAAAGACATAACTATAACAACAACATTACCCCAGTGCCTCAGAGGCTCCCACCCATTGCGGGGGAAGTGGGGTTGGACCCAAAGCCTAAAAAATAGTGAATCTTTGGCTCCATCCGAGACATGACTATAAAAAATGAGATAAAAAAAAATCACTCTTCATGACTATAACATGATGACATGGATATCTATTACTCATATATAAAATCAAAAATATATCCAAAAATGATGAGCCCGGAGTGATGTGATAAAACATACTCCCTCTTATTCTAAAATAAAGTTTTGTTTTCCATTTTTGGCTGTTCCAAATAGAATTAGCTTTCCTTGTTAAGTTTTACTTTACTTTATCAAGCTCTTTTAGGATCCCTACCTAATACGGTTATACCATTAATTATTCTCAACCTTGCATCTCAACGGAAAACTACAAGTCAATGGCAAAAGATTTTATATATTAAACACTGCACAAGTCAAACTAGGAATTTAAATAGAGGGATATATGGAGTAATCATAAGTAATACAACCATATCATATATTATCTCCATCCCTTAATGAACCTCACCCATTTCCTAAATAAGTGTCTTTTTTGTTTGTCCCAATGTGATCACCCATACACCCATTTCGTACTGTTTTATTACCTTGGATCTCTTCTTTGTTAGGTAAAATCACATTGGTTTGATTATATGGTTGCACCGGTTTTTATTTACTTGGTTATCTGTTTTGGTAGGTTAACAACACTGATGCTGAAGGAAGGCTTACACTTGCAGATGCCTTAATATATGCCTGCAAACAGGGTGTAGATAAGGTATTTAAATGCAATATTTACTCACACACCTACCTAGTTTAGGTAGGGGTAAGGTCTATGTGCACCCTCCCTTCAAGGATAACTTTTACCTTCTAGATGTGGTTTGGTTGGGTTTAGTTGGTGATTTCAAAAATAATGATTTGCAATGTGCTAATACATGATTAACCAATTGCAGATCGTTGACCTTGCCACACTAACCGGTGCCTGTGTCGTTGCTCTTGGGCCTTCCATTGCCGGTAACACATTTTGTAGTTTTTTTTCCCATGGTGATGAATACACTTGGAGTTATTTCTTGTCTTCTTTTTAATCCTTACTAATTCAAAAGGTCATATTAAAACCAGGGGTGTTCACGCCTAGCGACAGCTTGGCCAAGGAGGTGCTTGAAGCAGCTGATGTCAGCGGGGAGAAGCTTTGGAGAATGCCTATGGAGGAGAGTTACTGGGAGAGCATGAAATCTGGAGTGGCTGACATGGTTAACACCGGCGGCCGCCAAGGCGGTGCAATCACTGCAGCTCTTTTCTTGAAGCAGGTAAATAAAAGTTCGCGCTTCTCTCGCAACTTTTGCCCCTCCCTCCCCAAAAACCTCGTTTTTCTCTTCTATTCGCATCCCTATATTATTTGCATTTTTTAGACAAGAAAAAGAAGGTGAGATTTGAGTATTTGACCATATCTTTTTTTTTTCTGGCAGTTTGTTGATGAGAAGGTTGAATGGATGCATATTGACATAGCGGGTCCGGTGTGGAACGACAAGAAGAAATGCGCAACAGGGTTTGCGGTTCCTACTCTCGTCGAATGGGTGCAGAAGAACTCTTCTTGAGAGTATTACTATTGGTATTACACGACAGTGACACAGTGTGTGCTTGCTGGAGATAAAATGCCTCAATGTAGCTCTGGTTGATGGAAAAGATGGTGTGTTTTTGTTTTTTGTTATGAATCAAGAACTCTTGCCATTTTTCGAGCTGCGTTTATGGTTCATCAATAAAAACATTCTGAGCTAATCAAGAAATGCTGTTTCATTCTTATGTTTTTTTTCTCTATTGTTGTGTTGTGTGGCAGTATTTGGAGGGTGAGACATTAGGGTATGTAACATTTTTGGGATGGTTTGTTCTAAAATCCACGTTTAAAATATGAACTTTTTTATATTTTTTTAATGGGTTTACATGTAAATATTTTTTTAAAAGGCTCACTTTTTTTATACTACAAATCTATTAAGATTCATGTAATGATTATGAACCTGAGGTTCAGAGAAGAATAGTGCATTAGAGCCAAAAACAAACTAAACACATTCCATTCTATAATGTGATAAATAGTTTACTACTTACTTCCCATAATTGTTTTTCTTCTTTTTTTTGAGTTGTCTTTTAAAAAAACTCATTTTTCCATTTAAGGAAACAAATATGTGAGCTATATCAATTTCACTTTTCCTATGCAAACAATAACTATTCACATTCTATTTTATTAGTAAATGTGCCAAATCCAACATATTTTTGGATTGGAGACAATAATTAATAGCGGCAAAAGAAATATCTTAATTGAAAGGGAGAGTATCTTTGGACGGGGATATTATAACATCAGAATATTTAGACTTCTGTAATGGTCTGTTGGTTTCGAATGTGGTAAAATGCTTGTGAAGTTGTGATTGACCGAGTTTTATCCCAACTTGTACATTAGACTCTACGCCCCATGTATTTTTTTCGGTGTAGATAAAAAAAGTGTAATCTTACATCGAACATTAAGATTTTTACACCAAAATGTGCCCCGATCATAGAATTGATTGTCGTTACCTCTCTTTAGACTTATTCTCTTTACTTGATCTGAATGATTCTACCTGATTAAAATAAGTTTTGATCTGATCTGATTTAAATAAAAACATGCAGTAGTAAAATAAGTTTTGATATGATATGATTCAAATAAAAATAGTAAAAAAAAAATACGAGGAGAAATGCTAAATCCATGTCTCCTTTCTTGCCCTCCGCTCCGCTCCGCCCGCCCCTATGGGGAAGACAGAGAGTAAGGGACATGCTTCCAGCGTCCACGGTTCTTCAAGGGGAGGGATTAAGCGTTTTTTCAGATGATGTAGGTCGTCGAATTCATGGTAGGTTTCTGCAATATATTCTCAATTGATGTTCTCCAATTTCATGTATTGATTTCTTTCTTGCTTCGAATTCGCAAAGCTCAATCATTTGATTTCTTTCTTTCTTTCTTCTTCTTCTTATTCTTCATCTGTGGATGCCGATTTTCTTACAATCTCAACCACTTGTCTCTTAGCATTTCCATTGTCAAACCCATAAAAGGATAATTGGCATCAGGTCACGATCTTTCTGCTCTATCCATTTAATTTTTTCCCTTCATTTTCGGCATTTGGTCAGTTACAAAATGGTTTAGTCAGCTTAATTGGATGAGAGGTTTCAATTTGTATTTCACAATGTTTATAATTTTCTCACATGGGTTTACTCGCTTATGTAGCTGGTTGAGTCCAAGCAAGTATGGTTTCCTCATTATCAAGTTCAAGAAGAAGCATATCCACTTTTTGCTATCTGTGTGAAAGAAGAAAACAAACGGGTTAGGGGTTTTGTTCCATTATTCTTCTCTTATTCTCCTCAGATGAATTGCCACTTCATCTGAGGATTTGACTTCTTTTTATGACTTTATATTTTGGAATTCTCAGTTAACTGTGTTGTTGTTGTTGTTACGCTTGGATTTGTGTTGATACTACGTGCAGACAGCGAAATCGTTAAAATGTTTCAACTTTCCACTCCTAAAGGGGACACAATAGGTTCTGTGTCAAATAGGACATCTTCGCGGAGGAATGGTCCTGCAAGGGCATTGGATGAGAGGTTCATTAAGATTTTGAAGATATTTAAGTGGGGCCCTGATGCAGAAAAGGCGTTAGAGGTCCTACAGATGAAAGTGGACCGGCAGTTGGTTCACGAGGTTCTGAAAATAGACGTTGAGGTGGGTAGCAAAATCGCATTTTTCAAGTGGGCTGGGAAAAGAAGGAACTTTGAGCATGACTCGGCCACCTACCTGTCTTTGATCCATTGTCTGGAAGAAGCGGGGTTTACCGGCGAGCTATGGAGGACAGTGCAACAGATGGTGAAGGGCACGTGCCTTATTTCCCCCAGTGACCTTTCTGAGATTGTGAGGGTTTTGGGGAGGGCTAAAATGGTAAACAAAGCCCTCGTTGCATTTTACCAGATCAAAGGCCGCAAGTGCAAGCCCACGGCAACCACATACAACGCCGTGATTCTCATGCTGATGCAAGAAGGCCAGCACCAGAAAGTTCATGCGATCTATAAAGAAATGTGCCACGAAGGTAATTGTTTCCCGGACTCTGTGACTTATACTGCACTTATATCAGCACTTACAAAACTAGGTCAAGATGATTCTGCTCTGAGGTTATTCGATGAAATGAAGGAGAATGGGTTGCACCCCACTGTGAAGATATACACCACTCTGTTAGGTGTTTATTTCAAGAAAAATAGGGCTGAGGAAGCTTTAGGGTTAGTGGATGAGATGAAGGGAAATGGTTGTGCTCCGACCGTTTACACTTACACTGAATTGATAAAGGGGCTGGGGAAAGCCGGTAGGACTGAAGAAGCTTATTCTATATTTCTAAATGTCCTAAGAGAAGATAATGTTAAACCGGATGTGGTACTTATAAACAATGTAATAAACATTCTTGCAAAGGCAGGACGTTTCGATGATGCGCTGAAACTGTTTGAGGAAATGGAGTCATCCTTGAATTGTGTTCCCAATGTGGTGACGTATAACACTGTTATAAAATCTCTGTTCCAATCTAAATCTCATGTACCCGAAGCTTTATTGTGGTTTGAAAGGATGAAGGCGTACAATATTGCCCCTAGCTCTTTCACTTATTCGATATTCATTGATGGGTATTGCAAGACGAATAGGGTTGAAAAGGCTTTGATGCTACTTGAGGAGATGGATGAGAAAGGGTTTCCACCTTGCCCTGCTGCCTATTGCAGCTTGATCAACACTCTTGGGAAAGCAAAACGGTACGAAGCTGCAAATGAGTTGTTCAAAGAGCTGAAGGAGAGTTGTGGGTCTTCGAGTTCTAGGGTTTATGCCGTGATGATAAAACATTTTGGTAAATGTGGACGGTTGACTGAGGCCATCGACCTTTTCGAGGAGATGAAAAGATTGGGTTGCGACCCTGATGTGTATGCGTGCAACGCTCTAATGTCCGGGCTGGTAAGGGCCTGTTTGGTAGACGAAGCTCATTCCTTATTCCGGCGTATGGTGGAGAACAACCGCGTTCGCCCTGATATTAACTCGTACAATATCATTCTCAACGGTTTGGCCAAGAGTGGGTCGGGGTCCACAAGACCCGCGGTTGACATGTTTACGAGGATGAAGGAATCGGGTGATGTGAAACCGGATGCGGTCTCGTACAACACGGTCGTTGGATGCCTAAGCCGTGCCGGCATGTTTGAGGAGGCTGCAAGGCTGATGAAAGAGATGAGTGTGAATGGTTTTGAGTATGATCATATTACCTACAAATCCATCCTTGAAGCTGTTGGTCAGATTGATGAGGTTAGAGAACCAGCTTTGTGAGAAAGGTCTTAATAACAAAATCTAGAGGTCTAGAATGCTTGTGTTGGTTATTGATATGTACAATGTATATTTATAAGTAAACACATTTATTTGAATGCTTTATACTGGTCTCTTTTTTTTGAAGCACATTTCTCTTACTTGTAAGCAAATCTTAGTTGTACAATTTACAGTTTTTCCAACACTTCATTTATCAATAACTAATATAAATTTTATTTAATTAATAATCAAAGTGTGATTTTTTTTAAAAAAACTGGACAGATACTGTGGACGGGGTCATATATCATATTCCAACATTTTTAAGAAATTCAAACAAACACTCCCTAACTTAGAATGGAGAATGGAGCATCTAAAAATCAACCCAATTCCAAAGTAATCGTCCTAATTTGGATTCACAACGTTCAAAAAAGAAAGATTAATTTATGCAAATGAGACTTAAAACATCACTTTTCTCTAAATAGAATCAATCCTATCTTTTTTAACGTTTGACAATGAAAAATTCTAAAATGTCATGTCTTTGAAAAAATGATCTATTACAATATTCAAGTAGAATAAGCTGTTATCAAAAACAATTTGAATGATCATGTGAAATTATGTGTCTTAAAGAAAATAAAACATACTCCATCCGTTCCAAATTATTTGCCACATTTGCTTTTTCAACAGTCGCGGGAACTTTTGTTTATTTCTACGTTTTCATTGGTTATTTGATAAAATAAAATATTCTTGACACCTCTTATTTCGAAGAACTTTTCATGTAGTTTTTTGATTTGTAATTTTTATTTTTTAATTTCTTTACCAATATGTAAATAAAATGAATTGAAAAAACTTGATATTTTACCTCGGTAATAGAAATATGACAAATAATTTGAGATGGAAGGTGTACTTGATCTTATTCAGAAAAAAAAATGTACCTCTTTTTAGTTCATTTTTTTTAAAAAATGAAATAGGTTTGTGTATTTTGTGGCTAATGTGGGATGAATAGTAGATTGAGGGTGATTTTTTGACTTTATTCTACCCTTTCTGGTCAATAGTAGTACAGTACAACACACTTGTTTTTATTGCCCAATTTTTTCTTCTCGATTGCAGCGATCATCGTCGTCATCATCATCATCATCTCCATTCATTCTTCATCTCTGTTCACTGGTTTTACTTCCTCTGTCTTTTTTTCCTTTTCAAGCAGCACTTTTACAAAACTCTTCTGGACTCGCTTTTATTACCCCTCCAAGATTGAATCTTTTTTTCCCTCCCACTCCTTCTCTTTCTTTTGGCAATGTTTCAAGAACCAAACACGGCGTAACATACAACAGATTCTTGGCTGCAAGAGTTTTTCTTGAAAATGAGTGTTTCTCTATCAGTGATGACATTTAATCTTCTTGAAGATCAGGGATTAGAGAGCCCTAATGCGTGGGATAAGAGGAAAGATTTGTGTATCAGTGTCATCACCAGTTACTCTCCCGTGATTCTTTGCACTCAACAAGGTGAAATCTTTGTTTTACTTTTTACCTCTTCTTCTTCTTCTTTTTCTTCCTTTCTTGATATGGTTGATCTGGAAATAAATTATTATGTCACTACTGCTACTGCAATTTATTCTTAGAAGAAAAAAATTTGATCTTTACAATGATGGTTAATTATATCTCAGCCCTTTTTGGCTTTAGGTGTGAAGTCACAGCTGGACTATCTTCAACAATGTTTGCCAGGTAAGGCTAAATTGGGCTTTTCATTTTTTTCTGCAACTTTGTAGTTGCCCAACCATACTTGGCTAAGTTGGCTTGTACACACAGAGAACAAATTTTATGTTTTTGGTCTTTTGGCAGCCTCTTTTTCAAGCTTATCAGCCAATTTTTGTTACCATTTGGAATATTTCCATTTGAGGCGGACGGATCATATGCTTTGGGTTTATGAGATTTTACTGAGTTTATTGTTTTTGTTGTACGGTGTATCATATGCTAGCTCAATTGATATTGAGGACTATATTTCATCTCATGCATTTAGGTTATAATCAATTTGGAATATCAAGAAAAGGAGCTGAGGACACTTCAGATCAGTATTGCACCATTTTTTATGACAAAGAAAAGGTAGAATCTTTTTTCATAGCTCATATCTGCAGCAAGCAAATAACTTTTTCTTTATGAATGAATCTGTGAATAACGTTCTTTTAACAAACAAAAAAGGATCGTACCTTATCTTTCATTCCACTTTGATTACGAGTAATTGATTAACCAGTCCAGCCCAAGATCATATAAACTTGCCATACCGTTCAAGTGGTGGACAACCAGATCACTTGATCTGATTATTACTCACTTGCAATTAGATCTTGATTTGAAAGATTAAAACTTTGCCTCCCGGTATAGGGGGTATAGTGGCATGACACCTAAACAAGGGCTGCTAGGGTGATAGCCCCAACAAATGAGCTTGGTCTCCCCTTCTAGGGGTACAACACTAAAACAAGGGCGATAGCCCCAACAAATGAAATACTTCATAGTTAGACTTGGGAACTCAACTTGACTATAATACACATGGGCCAAACCAAATCAAAAGATTAACGAACAAATCAAGTAAAATCCCGCAAAAGTAGGGTCTAGAGTGGGTGTGTGTACGTAGACCTTACCCCTACTATGAATTCGAGAGAATGTTTCCAAAAAATTGAATCCAATTGATTAACTAGTATTAACCCAATGCCTTATACATCCATCTACCTCTTTCAATTCTTTCAATGTGAAGTTCTTTCTTAGCACACTTGTTTTGAATGAAGGTGGAGCTTTTGGAAGGTGGAACATTTTGGATGTCAGAGTCACCTTCAGTGCCGGGAAGCATGTCTTGGGGCTCCATAGTGCCGTGCATTGCGACTTGGGCAATATCCTTTTTTTTGTTTCTTTAAGCTTTTTCTGTACTATTTCTAAACCTGCAATTGCATTTTCTGCTTGGAAATGCTATGCGATTTTTTTCCCTTGACAAGATTGTGTACACATTTCAACTAAAAAGGGTCGAGGCGCCCGGTTTTACATTTCAGATAGTAAATACAAACATGGATGAGTTCTCTCCGCGCGCTAGAAGGCGGGGCGCTTTGCTGACGTGGCAACACATTGCATCCTTACCTCCTACCTTGTCTGTCGTGTATTGTGGAGGTTTCAACACACAGAAAGAATCAACTACAGGACGTTTTCTTCTTGGGAGATCCAGGCATGCCTATTTTTATGCCCTCTAAAATTGTTTATATCATTACCATTTACCAAACACCAACATTGCAAAAGGTGCTTCAAAGAAGTCAAAATTTAATTTTTTTTCGAAAACACTCTCTTCATCATATAGAGAACACGGAGTTCTTGGCGATATGAGGGATGCTTGGCCCAATGCTCGTACAAGGAAAAACACGTCCCTTATACGCACTTATCATGGATTCAAAGGTTGTTTTTTTTCTCATCAGCTTTTTGCGTTTATCTTCGACTGTTTTAAAATGATATCCAACAGTAACTCTTAAAAGTTTGGAGTCATTTGGCTTTGATTATGAGACTTGTTTTGCAGAATCTCAATTCAAAATCAGATTTTTAGAATTCTGTGAACAGAATCAGCCAAAAGAAAATAAAAAAGAAGCCAAATGTGCTGGGCCACAAACAATGATACAAACAAAGCCATGATCACAATATGTTAGAGTAGATATGAGAGAAGCCTATATATGAGCTGTTCTTCTATTCTCATACTCCTATGCATAATGTGGGTTTTGACAGGTGACAAACAGGGGCCTGTGGAGTATATGAAACTGATTCTAAGAGCTCTTTGCCTTTGCTGGGACCGGCAAACGCAAGATCTTCATGTGGACTGGGTACTGTTCAGAGGCAGATCTCTTATGCCCGCCTCGTGCCAAGTCGTGAACGACAACATTGATGGGTTTTACCCCTCTTCTCACTACCCAATATTTGCCGAGTTCATGCTTCCCCGTT